CTGTTATGTGTGTTTCTAGTAGCTGTGTTGCCTTTCCTACGCAGTGTTAGAGAAGGGTGAGATCTGGGTCTCAAAGGCTGAATAAAGGTGGCAATGGGAGTTTGTTACTGAGATGCAACCTGTTTCCTAAACATGAAGCCTCTTGTAAAAACAGTGCTGAGAGAACTGAGGTTACACACATATTTCTGACAATTCATATAAAGCTGTTTCTGTTCAGCATTGAATCACTGTTCATTAGTGCATCACTTAGCTGAGCAAGAACCTACTGGGGTGTGCAAAATGCCTCCTGCAGCTACTCAAGTAGAGAGTGTCTTGCTTAGCAAGTTCAGGATTTGTCAGAGGTTTTGCAGGCTGCAGTGGGTTTTAGGAATTGTCTGAAGGAGATAACTAGATCTGGCTCTGCTCATGGAGAGCTACAGGGTTTCCATGCTGAAGTTCCCTTTCTACTTGCTGAGAGATTATACAGTTATTAACTGACTTACAGATAAGTCACCAAAAAAAAATAAAGCTATTGTCAATACCTTCCCAGATGCTGTTGCAGATACTGTCATGGTGCTGGGGCACATCAATAAACAAACTCTTCTCTTCTGTACTGCACCATCCATAGAACAATCACACTGGTATTTGTAAAAGCTCAAAAAAAAAAGCACATCTGCTTCATGGGTTGGGTGGGCCTAAGCCTTTCTTAGTTACTAGAATTACACATTTCAACCCACAACATGCAAACAGACTCCAGTGAATGGGAAAAGGGGTCTGGAGAGGGGCTCAGGTTTGATCTGGGCGCAGCAGTGGTGTAGTTTGAAGCACAAGCTAAAGCATTCCAGCTGCAAGTCAAACCCAGGAATGCATCATGTGAGATCTGATTTTTCTGCAGGGCTGGTAACATGAGCATTCAAATCATTCACTGCCTTTGAAGCCTGTGAAATCCATAATGGCCACAAAGTGAACATGTAACAACTACATTTCAATTACCAAAGGCTGGTCAAGTACCTGGTTTTATTCTCTCCAGTAACAAAACTCCCATCGACTTCAAAGGGGTTGGGATTCACTCCGCAGTGCGAGTGCTGGGTCCAATGAAATAGGAGATGCAACTCTGGGATGAGGTATTTCAGCTTCTGAAGGTGCAGACAGAAGGGCAGAATCGAGCTCTGATGTTGAGGGCAGCTATACAGTCTGCATTTTTTCTGCAGCTTCAGGTTAATAAATTGAGGGTGATGCCCTGACTAACAATCTCCCCCAGAACTATGTAGGTACTTTTGGAAAATATGCCAGTTCTTACCAACTATAATAAGAGTTACGTATCCAGCCTGCTCAACTGCTGTTAGAAATCCCCCTGCATACCTGTGTGTCTCTTCTGCACTTAAATCCCTTTGAAATTCTTGCTTTGACCATGGCTTGCAGAGGTGGAGACTCTGAGGGTAATGGATATTTCTTTTGCAAAGTGCTTCACAAACTATTTCATGATTCCAGTGTAAAAGTGCCAAAGTTCATTTCTCTCAGGCTCACATCTGTAAGCTTTATTTTGCCATGTTCCCTGCATAGATGCTCAAGATAAATTACCTTTAACACCTTGTAGCAAGCCTTGTGCCCTGTGATGTGTGCTCCAGAGCACTGGGATCTGCTTTGCTTGCCCTCCTTTTCCAGGAGGGAGGAGATGGAGGCTGGAGCAGCACCCAGCTCCTCCACGGCCACCTCCAGCTCCCCCTTGAAAGGGTTTGTGACCACAACAGGGACTTGATGTCCTGCTGCTCAGCACCCCTCTAAAGCCAGTCCTGGCTTTGTAAAGCACTTTGCCAGGCTTTTGGGTGGGTGAGCCATGAAGACCAAACATAAGTTGGACCTGAGTCACTGGACTTCAAGCTATGCACACGAAAGCTTTGAGACATGTTTTATTAGTCAAAACATCAGCTGTTTTTACAGTGTGTATGATATTGGGAACATTTTTGTTCATGAATGTACTTGTTTGCCTAAAGTAAACAGCTGATGCTGTGTGCCTAAAGAATGCTGTACATGCCTTTTTATGAAGGAAATGTTGCCAGTTTGAAGAGCTTGCCTTGCAATGAATTCATAGATTTGGAAAGGCCAAAAAGAATATTTGGTCATTTAGCCTGGTTTCCTACAAACACCTGTAATAATATCTTCTATCTGATAGAGATACAATTTCTATTAGTCTGAGTGGCATCTCATCTGCTGCAAAGGGCTGGGCTGGGCTCTCATTATTCCTGCCAGGGTTGTTAGGTGTCTGCCTGCCCACAACTGAGGTGGATGAGGGAGAGCTTCTGCCCTCTATCAGAACGTTGGTACTGTTGAGGGGAAGGATTTCAGGATTTGTCTGCTGGGAGTGCATCTGTTAGTCTGGAAAGACCTATGCCTGCATTTTTCCCTGACAACAAAGTGCAGACAAGAGATGTTGCTGGTTAGATACCAACCTGTCTGAACATGTAAAGTCATTAACTATCGAACTGCTCATACCTATGGTTTATTTGAACCAAGAGCACCATCACACCTCAAACTGGAGGCTCATCTGTGGCTTAACTGAAAATCCAGCCTTCACAGTATCCTGTGATCTCTTCACATTCAAAGGAAAGTATCCCTAGTCAGCCTCAGCCTGGGCTTTCCAGCTGCACCCTGTGCTGTTCTGTGGCCCTAGAAGGTGTCCTGCTCTCTGCTGTGTGTGACACGATGCTGAGCTGCCCCTGGGGAGCCTGGCAGGAGCTGCTGTGCCTTGGGCCACTGCAACAGGAGCAGCACAGGCTTGGAGAATCCCGTGTGGGATTCCAGCAATTCCAGCAATCTCCTGGGGGAAAGAGGGGGACCCGTTTGGTTTTCTGCTGGCCATTGTACCTGTGGAGCTCCAGGGAGAGGGATCCACAAAGCCAAAGGCGAGCAAATGTTTCCCTGCCTGTGTCGGGGGGAGGGTTTGGCTTTGTTTTGCTCTTGTTGCTAACAACGTCAGATGGGTCTGACTTTCCAGCCGGCTCGGGATGAGACAAACAGCCAAGGAAGCATCAAAGTGAATGGGTGTTTTTTGATCAACACTGGAGAGAGTTTGTTTTCTTTCTCCACTTGCCCAATGACACACTGACTTGGATGACTGGTCTGTGACAGAGCCGGGTGGAAAATGTCAGTGGAAAAATGTAGAAAAAGAGCAAATATTTTTACAAATGTTAGTGACAATATTTTTACCTTTGGTCAATCCAAACCATCAGGAATATTTTTTCAGGACATACTGTTCAAAACTCGCCATAGCCTGTGCCAAAATGTATGCAAAAGGGGAATATGCACGAACACTCATTAAAAATAGTGTTCCTGTGGTGAATATGATGCAGTAAAATTGCATCTCATCTTGTGGCTGGAACATCTGTATAATTAGCAAGATTCCTCACCTCTTCCAGCCAGTGGTTCATGTATATGTCTACACTTCGCAAAGCTTTTTTTTGTCCTTTAGGAATAAGAATTTGCGGAGGAGACAGTTTGCAGAAACACTTGCGGCTCCACACAACTGTTCCCAGTGGTACCTTGCCACTCTCCCTCAACAGAGTTGTAACCAACCTGTGGATGTACCATTGCAAAATTAAGATACTAAATATCATCCTGACTCTGTCAATAAGATTCCTAGTGGGCATCTACCTCACTCTTTAGGATCTGAGTGAAAACTTCCCTGGCATCTGATGAGGAAGGTCATTTACTCCAAGAACAGGTTTCTGGTATTCCCTAATACCCTGGCACAACTGGTTAGTGCCTCTTCCTCTGCCAACACATATATTGTTTCTGCTCTTCACAAGAATGAAAAGTTATTCCTGCAGGCTTGTAAATAACCTATTTAAGAAATACAGCATAGGGAGGCTTCTACTTCTGGAAGGTCCTGTGCACAGTTGTGACTTGTTGCCTTCTTTAAGGAAAACCTGCTTAAAGTGTTTACTTTGAATTATCACTGTTTGATAAAAATAGATTCATTTTAGCACATTCCCCAAAACCTGCAAATAATTGTGTCGTTAGAAATGCCAGGAGAACTGCGAGTTTTAAGCTATAAAATTAGAATGTCAGATGTGGAAGAAAACACACCAGTGGTTAAATATTTTTACCATACAGCAAAGCCAGTAGAAATTCTCACCATTTAAAAAAGCATTGATAAGGTTTCCTGTCATATTTCAATTTTTTTTTCCTGCATTTTTATTAGTGCTTATAAAACTATAAAGCCAGAGTCCTGATTACACTTTTTTTTTCTTACCCTTTTGGACTTTCTCCTTTTAAAATTCCTAGTGTTTCTCTTTTCACAAACCTAAATTAGGACTGTAGTATTATTAGTAGTCCACATTTAGTAGTCCTAAAGAATAACTTCTGCCTAGAATGTGACTGTAAATACTTTCTGTGTAAATAAATGCAATCTCGCTTTTGGTAGGATTTGTATGTAAGAGAAATATGTGCAAATGAAACTAAGTGCCTTGGATAAATGGTTTGGGATTGCTGATTAATTGGAACTAAAAACAGATGAGAAAACTGAACATATGTTCTTATTCAAGTTCCCTGGAGGATTTGTCAAGGAGCTTGGCATACATTAATAATTGCTTGGAATGGATTTAATAGCTCATCTTGTAGTTTTGCACATGCAAAACAATCAGTCAGTATAAAAAGCATGGTGTCATCTGTCTTTGTTAATTAGGGATCTCGAATGCCTTTGATAATAAAGGCTAGCAATTAAGCTACAAGTCGAAAGGAAGTGTTTGGTTTTGTCACTTCAGGATCCATAAGCAGCAGGAGGAAGTGGGGAGGACTTCCAGGAATCTTGAAATACCCCGAGCTTATGATGTTTTGCTGCAGCAGCACATGGCCAGGCTTGTTGGCTCCTCGGCTACTGGAGTGCTCCCAGGGGCCAGAGTGCCAGGGATGCTCCTTGGGGCACCTGGAGGCTCACAGGGACCTCTCCTCGTGTCACCACACGTGGCAGCTACGTGCTGAGATTTCACTGTATAAACCTGGTGCCAAAGCCACTCACTCACCTTCCCGGGTGCTCCTGGAGGACCTGGTAGACGCTAATCTGGAACGTTTCGTTGTCGAAGCGTTCGCGGATGTAATCCTTGTATATCCGGAACTCGGCAGCCGTCACCGCTTCCCCCTCTGGGATTCTGGAGAGATCAAACCTGAACTCTCGGTAGTGGCAGCGCTGATGGTGAAACTCTCTGTCATGCTCCACTGAAACAGAAAACAGCCCATTAGCCACCTGCTTTGTTCCCTTTCCCCTTGCCATCAAACACGCTTGAGAGTTGCCACAACAGAAAAGGGCAAGAATATCTGATTGCAGCATCTCACGCTGTCACTCGGTTCATTAAAGCACCTAGGAAATACATTACTTTATCTGGGCTATTATAAGCATATATGTGTTTATCAGAATCCCTTTGAAACAGTTTTGCAGCTGGCTGGTACACGGTGTGGAGGACTGCTGTGTTTTAATGATTTTTGGCAGCTTTGTGCTTGACAAGTGACTCTGGACATTTGCCACCGATAACGACCAAGAGCTGCTGTGGGAAGGAGCTGAAAGAAACAGATGGGGCTTTTCAGGGGTGCAGGTTCTTGGCCTTGCTCTGCTTCTGAAAATTACACAGGCACACGCATATACCCACACACATATACACACAGATTCCAGTCCTTGCCAGCGACCCACATTTGGTGCCAGCTGAATTCATCACCGGCTCGCGGCTCCTTTCCGAAGGGTCAAAGCTTTCATGTTAAACCATCTTTAGTGCTCAGGGCTGTGAGGCAAATGTTCAAAGTGAGGGCCTTCTTTAACCTCCCAGCCCTGACTGTGAAATAACAAGGAGTGCCGGAATCCTCCCAGGACAGTGTGGGGATGGTGTGTTATCCCTCCGAGTGACAGGCCTGCCTGTCTCCTGATGGACAGCTGATGGTCTCATGCTTGTGGATACGGAAGTGGGGGGTCAGTGTTAGGAGGAAACAAAGGCTTCAAGACAGTCCTCCAGCAAGGGGGAGGCAAGGTGTCAGTGCCCCAGCCCGACACATGACGCAAATCACCCTTCTTGGAACAAATTCCAAATTAAATAGACAAGTCCGACAAAGGAAAAGGGGGAAACAGAGGTATAATGGGATGAACTGACTCGCCCAAGGTCACACTGCATGACATTTTAAGAGCTGAGGTTTGAACCAGAGACTTCCTATATGTCCCAGTCCTGTCGTCTGTCCACTTGACCTCTCTGCAGCTTGACTGCACAATTCAAGTAGTTAGCTCTGAGATTTCCTTGGCAAAGAATGCTTGTCTTTCTACAGGCTTGATTCTCTTCTGGCAGCAGTAAATCCATTGTGTAAATCCATTGACTTAAAGGGAATTACTCCTGAAAAAGAGGAGTTTCAAGCCTGAGTTTGGAAAGTGCTATTTAAATTTACAGCGCTGCACAGTACAAATGTACATCAGCACTCGTGGGGATCTCCTCTGTGTCATGGACAGAGCATGGGGAGGCTGTGGGAACCAGGCTATGTCCAAGCATGGAGCAGGTTCAGCGCTGCTTTGCTGGCCAAGATTCAGCTGCTGGCCATGGACTCTTCCTCCTTTCTCACATCCCCTCTGCAAGGAGTCCAGGGCTCACAGTTTGCCACTGTGTGATTGCTGTTCAGGGAAATAATTCAGAGCTCTTAGTCATAGCTGGGATTCATCTTAGAGAGTTTTTTAGGTATGAAACCTCTGAACTTTCCAAGACAAAGGTGATTAAGTTCAGCAAATGGTTTTACAGGTTGAGCAGTTGCATCTCTAGCTAAGACATCTCATAAGCCTCAGGGAGATTGTTCAGTGTCTCATACCCTGACATGGGAGAATATTGTGAATATTCACCAGTGTCTGTAAAATATTTGGCAGGCTAAAACTGGCCTGGAAGTGCTAGCAACACTATTAAATGTGCCTCAGTCCCTTTCCTCTAAAATGCTCCTAATAGAGTAAGATACTAAGTGTGATTTCAGCCTCAAAGGAATTTGTCTGCATCAAAATTATAGGTGGAAGGGAAAAACACTCTCATATGGAATAGCTCCTTTAACCACAACTACAGAAGAATGACTATAATGCTGTGTGGTTTTAGTTGTATTACAGATAACACCACAGGCAGGGTGTAAGCAGTAGGGTGTACCAATATGATTTGCTTCCAAAGCAACTACATCAGCCAACACTGGTCTTTAGATGCACTTTGTACACTAGGTCTGACAACAAGCACATGAAGATGAAACTTTTTGGGGTGCTGCTAGAGTTCACAGTGATTTCCTCTGCAGAGCCCTAGAAAAAATGTGTCATATTAGTATGAAAAATTAACAGCCAGGGTCATAAAACAAAAAGCCCCGAAGTTTGAACTTTCCCATGCTTTGCAGATGTTGGGATATAGGGTTTTGGCCTGAGCCATCTTTAGTGTTAAAGCAAACATTCCTGTGGCTATAGTCATTAAGATCATGAAAATATGTGGATATGTAACTGAAGAAAGAATCCCAAGAAACCCTTCAACTCAGTGTTTATTGTTTTTCCCCTTTTTCTTTGCACTCTGGACCTATCTGCTGACCCAGAAGTAACAAATCCTTTCAGAACTAATTTATGAGAAACACTGACCCTGAATCAACATCTGTTAGACGACTGCAGTAAATCTTATTACATAATTAAACACCAAAATCTATGTTAAAATAACGTTAAGGGTCTGACTCGAACTCATAAAAGCAAGACTCTTCATTATGAAGGTTGAAATCCTATCCTAAGTCATGCTGCTGTGTGTTGGTATTTGGGAACATATGGTACAGTATATATGATGGAGCACTTTTTGTAGACCCCAGTAATACCTTCAATACAACACCATGGGCTAAGCAGGGGAGCGCTCAAGGAGCCTGAGTTTCCTGGGTTTGATGGGTGTTAGACCTTTGACAATACTGCAACTGGGTCATTTCCAGTTAATTACCTGAGGAGTTTGAAGGGGGAGAGTGAGGGGGAGTGCTAAAAAAAAAAAAAAAAGGATTGGAGGAAGTGGTATTTGAAGTGTTCAGTGAAACAGTCGAGAGAATTGCAGCAGCTCTTTGAATGTGACTGACTGTAGTTTCTCCAGTGGATCTATAAAATCCATGATCCCCATTGACACAACATACCTTAAGAACGTTTTGATCATTCTTGAAGGACTTAGTCTCAGCTGTTTGTCAGCCATTATGTGTTATATGCTCCCTTAAAAGTCATCAAGCAATATGAATATTTGCTGGGTTCAATTCTTTTACCCACAGAACCTGAACTCATGTTTGTTCCCACTACTATCCAAAGGCTTTGATGAATGGTTTTAGCCCAGTTCCTAATTTCAAACATTGGAAATTCCAGCTCACAATTCAAATGCCTTGGCAAGGCAGCTGCTTGGAGAGGAAGCCAAAGCTCTGGATGTGCAATCAAAGGTTGTAAAATAGGAAAAGGAAGAACATCCTCGAAAAATAATTCTGCTGCGAAACAGACTGTGTGCCTTAGCTGTGGGAAAACAGTGGACTTCCTCTCCTTAAAAAACAACCCAAAGTCACTCACAGGTGGTGCATGTGTAAATGTGTGCCTGTCCTCATTCTTGGAAGTAGTATCACATTTTGGAGACACACACACTGTTAAAAAATTCTGACCTAACTTAACACATGGCTCAAAATTTGCAAAATAACTCTGGACATGGTGAGTGTAGCAGTTAATTGGAGCTACAGTGGATGAGGATCATCAGACACTCCCTCTGGCGTACTCCTCTGGGAAAGGAAAGGTTGGGAGGGAGTTGTGAGCTGTGGGATGGAGATGGACAACAGATTCACGAGAAAATAATCAAGACACCAAAATGTGCAGGACAATTAAGGTGATCCAGACAAAACAAGCAATATCTCAGGTTAGTGGTTATCAGCAACTTTGCCACACCTGTAGCAAATATGCAAGTGAGATCAGCATCTGTGAAAGTTTGGCCTTGCCTATCTGTGCAGGATCTGAATGCTGCACAGACTACACTATCTGATAGAGATAGGGTTCTGAGCTCTCTGAAGTCTTTTGTCTCTCCAAATCGACTCTGTTGTGGCCTGATGGTGATGCAAGAGGAGACAGGACTGGCATAGTTGTGTAACGACAGGGATGGTAAAAACAAAACAGGATGGATACATGTGCTCAGGTGTGAAGTAGCCAGGTATCAGATCCAAAAATATGGGAAAGATGGAGATAAAATGTCAACAGATACTGGGTACTTGTTTTGACCTGTGCTGAAGTGTAGTCTTCAGATACAGAACTTGGAAACAGCAAGATGCAGGAATGAGAAAGTGTAGCTGTTGACATCAAGAACTCAGAGCAGTACAGTTGAAACAAGTACTAAAAAAATAATGTTGGACAGAAAAGCTTGCGGTCCTGATTTAACACTGTAGGGTATCCAAAGTTCCAAAGCAAATGACACATCAGGATAAAACTTAAACTTAAGCTGATCCCGTGTTTGGCCATTTTCACAGCAAAATATGTTGAGACTAGAAATAAGCGCCCCAACTGTTTTCAGCTTCTTTGTAAATCACTGCTGGTAAGTGAAAAGCTGACCTGAGCTAATTCTGTAAACAGTGGTTGGACCTCTGAGTTTGTAATACAGATTGATGGCAGGCAAGGCATGACATGTGACAGCAGAGATTATGCTGAGACATAGCTTGCAGTATTATTATTTCTCTCGACACATCCTGGTTCAGCCCTTGTACCCAGCACAGTAGCACCATGTCAGTCACCAACTCCACGTGCTGAGCTAAGAATCAGTGAATCACAGCAATAGTTTTCCAAGAATGAACTGTGTTAAAAAAACAATTATTTTGTTTTTAAACAAATAATTGCATCAAAGAGCTGATTCAAACTCCAGGGAAGTCAACAGAAATGTTTCCACTAATTTCAGTGGATTACATGGGAGGCCAATTACCTACCCAGATATTTTTACTCTCTTTTTTTCTGAAGATGCAAAATTTCTTTTTCACAAAGAAAGTCAACACCAGGTGAATAGATTCTGTGCTCAAGCTGCCAAATTGGGAAAGCTTTGGTAATTCCATACTTCCTCCTCCCTGGCACATTTGGGTAATGCATTTGGAATATATCTTGAACATATTAACAAGTAAAAACTTAAATTTTCTTGTTAACACTTTTGCCTGATAATATGTTAATTGTTTTTATGAGGCACTTTAGGAGTAGTTGTCTC